AGTTATACTTCTTATACTGTGCTTTTTTTCAAAAAGGAGGCTGCTGTATTTTTTCAGAAAACTCTATTCAACTTCATTAAGCAGCGACAGCTCCCTGTTGGTCTGAAAACAGAGAATCATAGTAGTTTCCAGATGATGTTTCTTTGAGATACATTTTTGTGAGTGTTCACTTGGAATAAACTAATGGTTTGACTGTTTTCCTAGGGACAGACATCAAAGACAAATTAAGATGTTACGACTTTGATGTACACACAATGAAGACATTAAAGAACATAATTTCACCTCCCTGGGATTTCAGAGAATTCGACATAGAAAGGCAAACTCTGGATGAAAGTGGCATAGTAACATTAGAGGCGTCACATCAAAGGAAAAGTACAGATACCAGTCGCCCATTGGAAGAAACGTTTGAGATTGAAATGAATGAAAGTGATATGATGTTAGAAACATCAATGTCAGACCATAGCACGTGACCGCAAATGCTGGTAGAGAGCTCCTTTTGTCTAAGTGTAATATGTTTGTTTTAGCATTTTTGTTATGGTGTTATACTTTCAAGAATTTGCTATTTTTATATGAATTCAAACCACTACTCTGTACTTGACATCGGAGAAGAAATGCTTGCCTTAAGGATGATTAAAAAATATACATGACGGACTATTTCTACAAAATTAATCATACATGATGAAGTAAAAAAATAAATTCACTTTTTTTTTTTTTTTAAAAACTGTTTACTGATCCATGTGTCTGCCATCAGTAAGACTGTGAAGGTTTAAAAATAGTACTTAACACGGAACCGCTTACAGTGTTGTTAAATTGAATAGCCAGTCTAATACAGTATTACTGTGGCTTCTGAGTTTTCATCTTGTCTGTGAGGAATGCTTTCTTAGTAAATATACCCAAAAAATCCATGAAGTTTTGTACTTACTACTTTATAAACATGTATTCCTTTAAGCAGCAATTTCAGTGTTTTTCCATCATTTGACTAATTTGGCATACATTAAATTGATAACAAAGCATGTTACTTTGTTACACTTTCTCCTAGTGATTAATTTCCGTTCTTTATCATTCTATACTGTCTTACTGAAAGCTCATTTAAGAACTGTTTCTGGTAGGCTGACTAGACAACAAACGTGAATGGTGTAAGCGTTAGGATAAATTAGTCTCACCTGGGAAGTGTTATAATAAAGTTGTAAGCCATAGTGTACTACTGTAGGGACTGCAGACATTCTCTTTACACATCGTTGTTTGGTCAATGCAAAGGATTAACCGAATAATATACATACACCATTTTTACAAGTCTCTCAAGTTTGGTAATTTTAAATGTCATTGGTTCAGTGCAAAATTAAGAAGTAAAGCATATGCCTCTGAAACAGCAGCAGTGATTTGTCCATCCACTAACCAGGACAGCTCTGTTTGCTGCCTTTGCATGAATACTGGAACGTATTTTGTGTAAATTTTTCTCTTCCCTTCTCTTCTTGCCCCTTCCACATATATCATTGTGTGGGGCTTAAAATTAAAAACTACAAGATGTCAGAATATTTTATTCTGTGACTTCCAGCTGAGTTTTGACATTAATGTTTAGAATAGATTTCCTGAAGTTTAGCAGTCCAGACTTTAGTGTGAAGTACTTCAGAACTCAAGAATTAGCAATTTTTCTCTAGACGAAGCTTTTTCATGAAATATAAAAATTATTTTTTAGTTAGCAAAATAAAATCATTGATCTAAAATGCAATTTCTACACTGTATCTTAGTACATTTGTGTTAGCGTTTAAACATGTATTTTCAGTTATACTTTTAGCATAAAGTGTATATGTTTGGTTATTGTGATAGAATTTTCATCTACTTTATTGGGACAAGGTATAAAAAACCCTGAGATATTAGTGCAAGTCATTAAATTTTTCCTATACCCTTTTTTGGTACTTTATGTAAATAAAAGGAGACAAGGGATGAATCCAAGTACCTGTATTGAAACCTTGCTGCCATTTTTGCTTTCCAGCAGTCCATCTTTCTTGATTAATGATCCTTTTAATTTTTAGACAATGCTTACTTGTTTATTTTTAATTTTGATGATGAATGGATATCAAAGGATGGGCTGATACTGTAAACTTTGGACTGATTTTTTTTTTTTTAATTTTATTAAACTGTATAGTTTTGCATAAACTGGAAAATATAAACTACTGCTCATCACACCACCTCTGTCTCATGGCTCATTGAGTCCTCAGGGGCCGGGGTCTGAATCCTAAGGAACATACAGTGAGTAGAGACCACTACTTGGAAGAAATTGCTAGGTGGGGAGGCCTTCATTTATTTGAGAATTCTCGTTAGCCAATCTGAGAGAACTGCTAGTGAATCAAAAGACTATGTTTCCTTTTTCCTCTGTTTTGCCATCTTATTTGCTTGCTGTGCTACTCAGACTTTTTTGCTGTGACTGATTATGTCTTGGTTCTTTGGCTCTTTTCCTGATAGTGCTCTCATGAATCTACATCTGGATCAGGGAGACTTCATCGCATCAATTCAGGCCACGTACGTGGTTTGAATGCAGGGTCCTGGCTGTTTTCCACGTGTCTGTGCGTTACTGAGCATGAATTCAAGTTCTAGACACACCTGCACTTTAAAATTCAAGCGTGTTGAGTGAGGAAAAGCTAAGGGACGAGTCTGTGTTTTAACAGCAATTGCACACACTCTCACTGTTGAAATGTGGTTGGGTCCGTGAGATCCTCTTGCTTTCCTGTGAACACCACCACAGTTTTGTAGAGAAATCTGGTTCCATCCCAGTGACAGCGGGAATTGTTCTGTGGCTCCACAGAGGGAATTACGGATGCCCAAGCTGCCATTACATATTTGAACATATGGATTGGAGTACGTGTCGACTGCAAAGTTCCAATACCAATCCCTTATTTTCTTAGACATTAGACAGTAAGGTGAAGGAAAATATTTTACTTCCTCATTCTCAAGCACTTCACCCAAAGTTGCGTGTTCGCCTGGAAAATACGGGATGAGCCATGAGTTTTAAGTGGAAAAGTCTCTATCCAAGCAGACTGGAGGAAAAATGAATCATTTGGGAAGGGTATGCATCTCCCGGCCAGCATTGGTTCTCTCTCCTTCAGTGTGGCTGGCTAAAAGGTTCATACAGAGGGTTTTCCCCTCTTTTGGTATCTGGTAGCTTGGTATGTGGTTCAGTTGACTTCTTATGTTTAAGGTAAACTGGAGATCTTTCCTGGGCACAGTAGGGGCCTCAGGCCAGTTAAGGCTCAATAAGGAGTATGTCTCAACAGCTACTGTATTAGGGAAGTCTCATCCTTTAAAGGATCTTTTGGTAGTTATTTTTATATCTGTGCTTATGTATCCTGAATGACTGTAACCAGCAAAGGCTTGTTGCAATGCACAGAGCAGCCAGAAGGCTATTGCCAACAGATTCTCAAACAGCTGAACTCCTTTTTCTCTATAACATTATCTATTTTTTTTTTAATCTAGCAAAGGTAAACTCAGATTTCTAGTAAGACATTGTAGCAATATCTACGTGGAAGTTGGCAAAAAAAGTCTTCTAGTAAATCAGGCCTTTTGTCTAATGTCAGGCGTTGGATGTAAGCCTCAGGTTGTTCCCTTTTTCTATGTCACTACTCTTTTCATTGACAAAATAGTTTAAAAGATTGATAAAAGTTAATATTGCTTCCTGCAGTTATGATCTGATGGAATATCGGCTCTGACGGCAATACTCATTTATAGTACTCTCGCCCTGCCTGTAGGAACCTCCTTACCCCTGTGCTGTTTCCTTAGCTGCAGTAATACAAATATTTGTGTGCTTATGTTGTTAATCAAATCAGGGAACTGGTCCAGCATTTAAAAATCTTTTTTCTATCTGATCAGTTCTGAGGTTCAAAGACAGCAAATCACTGCTGCGTTGGTGTTATCGGCAGGGCAGAGGGGTTGCAGTGGGAAGAAACAGATGGAATAGCAAGACATTGCTATAAAGGCAGCGTATCATGACACTGTGCCTTGGCAGGTTTTTTGGCTGCCTGTTGCTGGCCTTCATTTATTGGCATTAGAAGTTGCCTAGAAGGAAATGTATGCAAAGTGTTCTAGATTGTGAATGACTTTTCCTGGACGTCAGAGGAATTCTTGATACGACTTGGCTTGGCTCCCAGCCCTTTAGGCAGCTACAATTAGTTCAGAGCTTTGGAGCTAGTTGATGATGTGCGTCTCTCAGACAGGACTTTAGGGCAAGTTTCTCTCTCTAATGCATTTCTCTTCTGTTCAATGTTTTGATCTTTTCTTGTTCTGTCCAAATCCTTGCCTTTGTACCAGCAGCACCTGCTGTGTCCTAGTCCTTCGCACTTCCCAGCACCTCTCCTGCTCCAGTCCTGCTCTCGCCTGGTCCCTGCTTCCTAGATAGAGCCTGGTGCCCCTCTGGGTCATTCTGATTTTCACCCTGGCTCTAGTTAAACTGAGTATTGCCCTCGTCCTCATGAGGTCTGGCAGGGCAGTGGCTCCGTGCAGGCACTGCTGGCGAGCTCCTGGCTGGCACAAGACTTGTGAGCCAATGCAAGTAATGACTGATGGCCTCTTTTCCCACCGTGTTTTCTCCTCAGGACTTGTCCAGTTTTTACACCCTGCACCCTAAGACTCTGGGTGCCACATCCCCGAGGTGGCTGTGACCACCCTGCTGTACGGGAGACAAGGCAGGGGCAGAGGAAGGCCCGAGCCGGGCCTCAGCAGCCTGCGCTGCAAGGCACCTGTGAGCTGAGCTCGGGGCCACGGGAGGAGGGAAATGGACACGTTCCTCTGTCCTCCCATCCCCACCGGCGCAGTGGGGACCCTCGTGGGTTCCTGAAAGCGCCTCTCCCCGCCATCAGGGAGGACGGGGATGGGGATGGCGGCTGGGACTGCGCCCCCCCCAGCCCTGAGCGCTGGCGGGACAGGGCCGGTGGGGGGGCTGTGGGGGAGCCCCTCCCAACCCCCTCAGCCAACTCTCGCGAGATTCCGCCGGAGCCGGCGGGCAGTTCTCGCGAGGTTTCCGCCCCGCTGCGGGCAGCGGCGGCCGCATGCGGTCGGAGCGGGAGGCCGGGCCGGGCCCGGGGCAGGGCGGCGGCCGCGACAAGCGGCTCATGGACGTCTCGCTGCGGCGGGAGTCGCCGCGCCGCGACCCGGACGCTCCGCCCAACCCGCCTCCGCCCCCATCCCCGACCTCCCCGCTCCCGCCGCCGCTTCACCCGGCGACCGGTAAACAGCGAGAGGAGAAAAAAACGGCGCTGAGCAAAGTGAGGGGGCGCGAGCGGGCGGGAGGGGCACGCGTGGGGGGAGGGCCGGGGCGGGAGCGTCTCTGGGGGGAGATGCCTGGGCGTCAGGGGGAGTTTGCAGTGAGGAGCGTGGCCCAGGTAGGCCCCGTCCCACGGGCTGGAGAGGCTGATGCCGGGGGACGCTGGTGTTTGAACGCGTGTTTCTTCATCCGCAGAAGCGAGGGCGGTTGTTCACGTCAGTGTTTTGAGATTTCCCCCCGCGTGCCTTTTCGCCTTTAATTCTTCAGAAATCGAGGTCGGCTGTTGGTGTGGCTAAGCAGCTCCTGCAAGGGCAAGAGCATCTCTCTCTCCCTGGCTTTATTCGAGCGCTTTTCAAATAATTCTTACAAAGAGTACTGGGACATTTTATTTGTTCCCATTTTTTTTAATTGGAAAACTGTAGCGCTGAAAATCACTTTAGCTTGGGTCAGGTTAAATTCAGATATTGACAAGGAATGGAGGTAGGTTGCCAGAAGCTCGATGGCCATTTTACTGCTTTCTATGCTGGCATCGTTCTGTCCCCCAGGTTTCCGTATGGTTTCCTGGCTTTTCTTATTGCCGCTTTACCTGAATGTGGTGGGTTGACTTTGGGTGGCTGCCAGACGCTCTTTCACTCCTTCCTCAGCAGAACAGGGGGAGAAATAAGATGAAAATACACATGAGTTGAGATAAGGACGGGGAGATCACTTACAAAGTGCCAGGACAGGCAAAACAGGCTCAGCTTGGAGAAAATCAATTTACTTTGTTGCTCACTGAAGAATTAGAGTGGTGAGAAACAAAGATTAAAATACCTTCCAGCCCTTCACCCTTCCTTTCCAGGCTCTACCTCCCCTGCAGTGCAGGAGGATGGAGAATGGGTGCCGGGGGCAGAACAGCTCCTTTCCCCTTTTCTTTCCTCCTCACACTCTTCCCCTGCTCCAGCGTGGGGTCCCTGCCGTGGGATACAGTCCCTCATGAATTGCTCGGGTGGGTGTCCCTCCTGCATGCTGCAGTTGTTCATAAACTGCTGCAGCGTGGGTCTTCCCCGTGGGTTTCGGGATGAACCTGCTCCACCGTATGGGCTCCTCTCCATGGGCTGCAGGTCCTGCAGGAAAACCTGCTCCCGCGTGGGCTGTCCATGGGCTGCAGCTCCCTTCAGGGCATCCCCACCAGCTGCAGCATGGGGTCCCCCGTGGGCTGCAGGGGGACAGCCTGCTTCGCCACGGTCTCCTCCATGGCAATCTCTGCCCCAGTGCCTGGAGCACCTCCTCCCCTCCTTCTTCTCTCACCTTGGTGTCTGCAGGGCTGGTTCTCACACTTTTCTCCCCTCGCTCCTCTGTCTCACACATTGCTGTGCAGCCTTTTCTGGCCTTTCTTAAATACACTCTCCCAGAGGTTCCACCGTTGTAGCTGAGGGGCTCGTCTGTGCCCCGGGGGTGGGTCAGCACAGGGCAGCCCCAGCCCCTCCTCACAGAGGCCACCCCTGCACCCCCCAATGCCAGTACCTGGACACATAAACCTAATACACTAAAATGTTGTTGTAATAAATGTTTTAAAAGCTGGTTTAAATATTTTTCTAAATACATACTGTAAAAATTTTGTATGGTCAATATCTTTTTATGGTTGGTTGTTAATTTCTTGTGTTCCTGGCTAAATTGCAGTGGTTCTCAAGCTTTTCATCAGAATATATCAGTTACCCTACAATTTCACAATGCTAGCAAAAGCTGAGATAGGGAAATTGTTCCATCTGTCAGGAAGTCCAAGAAGGTAAATCACTAGGAGGCTAATGGTCCCACTGAGGTCCTCAATTTGAGTAAGAGCTTTTAAAGTGGAATGATTTCTTTAGTCTCTTTTCTACAGTATTTAGATCAAAGATAAATCTCCATTTTCTTTTATATATGCAGGTAGTTATTCGACGGCTTCCTCCTTGTCTAACTAAGGAGCAACTGGAGGAACAGCTACATCCTCTACCTGCCCATGATTATTTTGAGTTTTGCACTGCTGATCCCAGGTGAGGATGACCTGCTTATGCAGGTTTTCAGGTGGTTAAAACCTAATTAAGGTATTTTGGACGTACCAAATTACATATTTTTTCCACCAAGCCTGTTTTGTTAGTTACTTAAAATATTTGTGAAAAGCTGGATACATATGCAGAGATAATGCATTCATGCCCTTTTCATTTATACCAGTGATTTTAAAACAGAAACATTTTCTGTATGCGTAGGTCATCATTTTATTTGAAGTCTTGATGTTTCTTTTAACTTTCATTTATAAAATGCAACAGACTTTTATCGGCTGTGAAGAGTCAACCTAGGGCAAGTATCACAAAAGTTTTTTCATGAATGCCATTTGAGCTTAGTTTCTTTGGGTTTTTCACATATTTTTATATTTATTTCATACAGTTTTTCAAATAATCCAGTTCTATTTTTGTCTCATTCAAAACAAAAAAAGAAATAGTGGTTGATTTAAAATAAATTAGAATTGCTAGTATATTTATATAATTAACTCAGTATTGCAGTGGTAAAATACAATTCCCTTTTGAACAAAACGATTTCCAGAAGAGAAGGAATTTAACCATTAAAATAAATAAAATACTCTGGTATGCTACATCTGCATGTGTTCTGAAAAACTAAAGTATGAGATCCATCTTGTCTGTCCTAGCCTATCTTAGTGTGCAGTGAGTCATCCTCCACAGGCACCGGCTTCTTCCCATTGACTGCGGAGAGATCCTGGATATTTATGGCTGACCAACTTTCAAAGTTACGGGTGACACCCCCCACCCCAGAACAGATAGCCTTTCCTTCATAGGGAATCGTTCGCGGCAAATTACACTTGGAACGGGCTGGTTCCTGGGCTGATTTCATTTGAAAGGATACTGCTAGTTCTTGCCACCGCTGTGTTATTAGATGGTTAACTCTGACTGTATTGGTTCTCTCAGTCAGTTCTACAGTTGGAGAGGAACAAATGTCTATTTAGCGAAATTTCATGGCAGTTGCCTGACCCAGACGGTTACACATACATGCAGTAAATAGTAGGTGCCACAGGTTTTCTGGTACAACCACAAAGGATGTGAAGTTAGGAAAGAGGAGAGTTTAGTCTGATTGAAAGTCTTTGTAGTTGCATACGTTTTTCTTCTGAACCTCTTCTTTTGTATTTCCAAATGAGCCTCTTTGAGGCTTCTGTCCCACCTGTTCATTTGACAAGGAGAAAATATCAAGGGCAAACCAAAAATTCTCTGAAGAGTAGTAACTGTCTTCAGTGTGTTTAGCTGCACAAATGCCAGGAAACAGTTAAAAACTTAGAATTTTAAATTTCTAGAGCAGTTGTTGGCTTAAGAATTTAGGGAGTCAGCCATCTTAGAAAGGAGAAGGCAGTGACAACAGTTGTACATATAAAGTTTTCTCTCTACTTTTATGTGATGAAATCTGGAGTACTCAAAAATCTTCCTGTCATTTAATTTCATCCATGTCACGTTACTGCTGAAAGATACTGTGTTTTTTCTCTCATGCTGTGTTATTTGTCATGTACTTTAATATAGCTAGGGACAGAACATACGTGTATGTATGAAAAAGTTTGTTAGATGGCATATATGACACAGGAGCTCATTCTGATAGAGGGATGAGGACATGCTTAAAACTTTAAAAAATTGTTTGCCTTGAAGAGCAGGTTTTGGTGATTAAAAATAACAAGTGTGAAGAAAATAAAGCTGTATTTCTTACATTGTTTTGCTGCTAGACTTCAAGATGCAGCAAGCAAACAATACACATTTTTAAACTTCTTTCTGAACGGTGATATCTCTGGTATGTGCTACTTAGATTGTCAGTTTCCTTCAGTCCTGTGTATGAGCCCTGTAATAAAATAATGATCTGGGAGAAAAATGTTCTTTTCCTCCTGAGTTTTGAATTCATGTTCTCTTCTGCCTTCACGTCTGCACTCTAGAAAAAGATGTTTTCATTTAAGTTTGAATTTTTCAGCATGAACTGTTTTATGCTTTTTTTTTGTTTCATCTTGCTTCTTAAAAATTATGCTTTCCTACAGAAGATGTATTTTTTCAGAAAGAGTTTATTTTTACAAGGTTTGTATGGCTACAACTTCTTTCAGCAACTACACAGTTTAAGTGGACATTTAGCTGTAGTTCTGCAGAGTATTGGCTTGACTGATTATTAATTTTTTTGACTGGCCAGGATCAGTTTGCCCCCTTTATTTGAATGCTGACACATACCCATATACATATCTGTTTATGGTTCAGCTCTTTACATGTTCACATACTCTAGGATATACAGTAAACTTTCAGAAGGTTTAAGTTAGAGACAAGATTAATACAGTCAGTCTTAGTCTCCTCTTACCCAGCAGAGAACTCTTGTGAGCATAAAGCATTGTGTTGCAGTAATCTGTCATATTACAGACAGTTCACAAAATTTCAGAAAACTCTTCTGTGGATGTGTCTTCATGCCATTCCAGCTACCAGGAAGAGCTACAGGACAAGGCGGGCATGTTCTCTCTACAGTGCCCTCTGTCTTTCACTGATTAGCTTTTTTCTAGATCCTGTGCTGTGTGCATAGTGGCAACCGATCCAGAGAATTCAGTGGTAATAAAACATGGGAAGTTTAAAAGCAAATTTCATGTTACCTAACAAAAGAATGATTTGTAGAAGCTACTGCATGAAGAGGATCTGCTTGCTGGAAAGAGAAAGGGGCATACAAATGTTTTGATGAAGAAGCAGACCTATTTGCCTTAAGAACTGTAACGTTTCAGTTTAACCCTATCCTGTTTAGCTTTAGATAACAGAAGTTTCTAAGAGCTCATTCAGATTTCTTCAACTGTGGAGTACAAACCTTAATTTTTTTTTCAAAAAACACTGTTAAGCCATAGAACTCCTTTCCAGAAACTGATGCTAGAAATAATCGAGGTTGAAAATGGTTCAGGGAACAGTTAGACATATACTTATTTAGGCAAATATTTATCTGTGAAAACCTCTTAAGCACAAGGATACATGTTCTGTATTACAGTCTCTAGGCTTCAGGTAGCTGAAATGATACGCTAGGTGAAGTGTCAGTGTCTGGTTTCCCCTTTTTACTAAACTTTCTCTAAGCATCTTCTACTAGTTGCTGTCAGACGAAGGACTAGACAGTTCTAACTATAGCTGTTTCTACATTTTTATTTCCATGGTCATTTCACACTAGAGGACAAAGCAAACAGGATATGTGTATCAACTCCAGTTTCTCTGTTTTTGCAGTCTAAAGGTTATGTTTAAGTTTACAATGTCTTATTATAGGCGGGCTATGAAACTTATTAAAATTTCATTTGATAAGTAATGTCATTAATGTACAGCATTTTTCAGATACATCCATTCAGTAAAATAATTTCAGAAAGTGACTGTTGCGTTGTGTTTTGTTCATTTTTTCAGATTCATCCAATTCACTGCATTACATTTCCTCTCTTTTGTACACTGACGTCAGAATACAAACAAAACACTGTTTCTGTGACTGATTCTATGGCCTGTAGGGATGGTTGGATAGACACACTATCTATAGCAGATAATAAAGACTGCCTTCCCGTTAGTCTACCTTGTTCTCAGACTCCAAATGTTAATGATTTTTTCCAGATACTCTTTTTATTTTATTTTTTTTTTTTTTTTTTTGTCTGTATGTAAACGTTTGAGTCTTCTAAAACTTGACTCAGGTGCTTGAGCTCTGGCCCTGCAGGATTTGGGTCATCCCTTGGGACTGGCACTGAGTGCTGCGTGCGGGGGGTTGTTGATAGTGTTGTGAGGTTGTAAAAGTAGGGAGATCTGAACAGCAGCTTTGCGAAAGCCAGTCAAAGAGTTGGTGCCATGGCGTATATGACAGACAGTGATAAAGCTTCTTGTAAACAGGACTCCTCCTTGTCCCTTCATAACCGTTTTCCAACGTTTTGCTCGGGATTCTTGTAGGCAAATAGCATTAATGCTGTAGGGGGGTGGTGTGCACCCAGGAACTGCAGGTCCATGGGGCAGTGCCTTCAGAGCTTCAAGGGAAGCGCCCCTACTGTGTTCTGGACGGAATGACTGACGGTCTGTCAGCACAACCGCACAGTGTTTCTGCTCCTCTGCCAGGGGAATTGTGCTCATTCATATCTGTAAAAAGGAAAGGCTGAGTTAAAGTTATGCCAGTTCCATCCACTATGTGAATGACCACAGAAGGTGAGAGATAAGAGGATGAGGGCCAGTGGATTTTGGCTTGACGTGACAATATAGATGATGAGTTATCTGTTTGATCAGAAATTATTATGTAATACATGAGTGGATGGAGGTTTTATGTAACACTCCAAAATTTATATGTAGAGACCTATATATTTCTATACATGTAAGTGTATCTGTTTTAAATGCATATACACACCATGTTTGGTAAGTTGATAAGTATTTTTAATAAGATGTGATGGCTGTTTTTATAGTTTAATGTTGCTGTTTATATTGTAGATAACTATTTAAAATTGCTTTTCTGTATTCCAATCTTTACACAACTGTGTTAAAAGATACTTTGTAGAAGTAGTAAACTATTAGAATGTGTTTGTTACTAAAATTATTACAAAAGAGCTTAAAGAGAATGATAGACTAATTATTACAGAGATGCACATAACCTAAAAGATTGAATACCCTTGAGTGCACAGCAAAAACCAAAGAAACAGTGTGTTATACTGAAGAAATGTGTACAGACTCATCTGGGTTATTTCCATAGAGGTTGCTCTAAGTGATATCCCAGAGATGCCAACATCATGTGCAGTGCATCTGTCTAAAACATGATATGGATGGAGGGCAGCATTATAGACAGCAAACATATGGCAAAATAGAACCAGCTGTCTGATGATAAAACTAACCACGCAACCTCAAAACTGAATTTCAAATCCTGCATGAAATCTGTGCTGGTAGATACTTGAAAAAAGGAGGAGACACACAAAGTCCAGTGGCCCTTCTGTAAGACTCAGCTGGAAGGGAAGGTCCTGAAGAGCAGAAGCTGTATTTTATCCGGTAGCTGCTGAATCCAAAGTACAAAAGCAGAGCAGGAGTGTTTCTTTGAAGGAAGAGGGTCTGTTAGCCACAGGGTGTCTGTGGCCCTGTGAAGCCTGGTGTGTTCTTGGCTGCGCAGTCATGCTGGTGAGTTCTCAGTGGATAGGTGAAGAGGGACTCCAGGGTGGGGAGCAGCAGTTGGGAGTCAGGTATCTGAAACCCAGAGTAAGAGACAGTATTTATATGCGGGCCAGTGCTAAACATTTCTGAGTTGCTAGGTTTAGTTAGCTTCCCATTTAGAGAGTGAATTCTATGCATTTTTTTTTTTTAGGCACACTGCACACTTTGCTGGGTAAGAAGCCTGAGACAGGGGTCTGAAACAGTGGTCTGGCTTTTATACACTCACCTCTGACAGCTAACTTGCACGCATACGAGAACCAGCTCTTCATTTGCAGAAGTGGCTCCATTGGAGAATGAACCTCTAATTGCTAGTCATTGTCATAGCTGTGTTTCTACAACCTACTACCCTGATACATAGCAACAATAATGGACAGACAATGCTATTTTAATGTGCTACTGTGCACATCAATATTGTGCTGCCCACAAATATGCTTTTATATTTTTGTATGTTTCTGCTGATGTGAGTGAAGTTCTTGAAGATGTTAATGTATAGCAACAACATTGGATCCCTTATTTGCAAGGTAAATTGTAAACTTCTGCTTTCTGGAGTCCTGCTTATACATTTGAGACTCGTTTTTTTCTTAGTAATAAATACTTAATAACTGTATCAAATGTTTCTGTGTTCTGAAAGATACTCACTCTGATAAGCCTAAAATGAAAATGTTAGAAAAACATTATGTTGTGTACCAGGAAAAGATTGTGTTGCCAAATGAGATGAAACAGATGGCGTTGATGTACAAGCTAAAGGAAACAAGGAACGAATAAGTCTTTGTATTTTCAGTTTTGTTTCACAATGGTTATGTGCCCAACCATAAGGTGCTAAGTGACTGCAGAAAAAAACCTAAAATCCAACTGTATGATGAAGCTGTTTGCTGTGCGCTGAGACAGAGAGGTGCTATGATAATGTAGTGGCTGGGGCACAGTTGTCTGAGTCCCAGTCTTTGATCTATGGAACATTTTAGTATTTTACAAAAATAAGATAGATAAAACACTGAAATAGTTGTTTAGGCTAGGAACTAAAACCCAATTTCTCAATCTCGGATAATAATAACTGGGCTGAAGAATAACCCTCCCTCCCGATTCCTGGTTTTCTTTTGTGAATCTTTAGCACTTCAATATCAGTCTCTAATATCAGGCCTTGTTTAATTTAAACATCAAAGAACAGGAAACATAAGAATAGTCACTTGACAGAGAAGGAAGTTTACTTTTTCCTGGGAGCCACCAGTTATCAAAGAGACTTCTTCACTGTTCCAGCCACCAGGCAACACAGAGACACTTCTTCCAGCACAGATTGCCCCAATAAAATTTCTTCCTTTACATACACTTGTAGGCCTTTTTAATTTTTTTTTTTTAACTGTAGGTAACTATCAAAACTGTTACATTTCATCTTTTTTGTTTGTTTGTTTCTGTTGTTTTTTTTTTCTTTTGAAACCAACGAGAAGGAAACTGGCTTGTTTCATCTGCTTTGCATCTTGATGGTAACTCCACAGCCACCCTCAGGTTACCTTGCGTTACATGAGCAGAGCGAAGGTTTGCAAATCTGCTTGCAGAGGATTCAGTGACAAAACCCAGCCCCGTGCCACCGTGCTCATTTGGTCAAGCTGTCCGGAGGTGGCTTGCAAGCGGTCCGCAGCTGTGTGGCATCCGTGGGGGCTGCGGCGAATGAGGGAGCACGCCGCGCCTCTGGTGTCTTTCAGCACTGCTTTGTGTCAGCAGCCTAGCTCTGGCCATGCCCTAGCAGGCCTATCTGTGGTTACCAGCTTACAGTTCACTCGGTGCTATTCCCACCCTAGAATATCAAAATGTAGTGAGTATATATGGATGAAATAGCTCTTCCTTAGAATTAAGTTTATCCTCTGCATGTTTGTTTTGCCAATTGACGGGGTTCACACAAAGGACACAGACACCAAGCTAAAGAAATAGGCTTATTTTACTTTAGTAGAAATAGAAATTTTACTATAGTAGAAATAGCAGAAAGAATAAGCAAGGTAATGCACCTAGACATTACTATTTAAAGCTAGCTATAGTGATTAAGAAAGATACATCACCAATTGCCCTCATACTTTACCATCATCCAGACCCGTGCACCAGCTGGGGAGCCCCGTCCCAGCGAAGGGTCGCAGAGCCTTTCCCGGCAGCTGGGAAGTCCCATGCAGGGCGTCCACTCGTAGGTGAGGTCTGCGTCTGTGCTGGGAGAGGGTCCAGCTTTTACACAATTTAACAAACAAGTCTAAACAAAACGCACAGGAGATATCTGGTAGATTGATATGCCTCACTCAGGCGTGTCCGGATCTGGCCAGGATCCGGGCATGTCTGAGGAGTTTCTGTTTTTCTTTACATTTGGGATTTATAGTTACTTCCTATTGTTTACTTATAGTTCCCAAGGATTGTTCCCAGGGTTACATTTTCATGCTGATAAGATACTGGTTGCTTCAGTCTGCTGATAAGATGCTGATTGCTGGTCGGGGAATTCACTCAGAAGTCAACTTTGGTTTGAGGCCTATTGTTTGGGCCCCTTTTTGTTTCAATGTTGTAGAAACACTCCGTAGCTGATACTTGCAAAATACTTATGTTTAAAAAGCCCTCTGTTTTTTTTTAAACATTTCCACTGGCTGAATATCAAACACAAACTTAGTGGGTTTACAAAAATCACTGGTGATTTATTAACAACACTGCTCTGTATGGTCACCTTCTAACACCCAAAGTAGAATTTGTATGGATGCGCATTTGAAAAAATAAAAATGACTTGGTTTGTTGTAACTGTGTCACTTTGAGCTTCCATGGGTGTGGATCCTGTGATCCAACCTGTATTTTTTGCTCTTTCTCACTCATTGAAATCTGATTCTGAAGTAGTTACGGAACCGAAATACAGTTACCACTGTGTGTTTATTGTCTCCTGCTGCTGGTGGTGAGTTTGTCTAAAGACAGGACGCGTGGCAATAGTCTTATGAACACAGGTATTTTAAAGTTACGGGCTTGTGTTCAGATACGTTAGAAAACCTGGTGCAATGCATTGCCATCACTGAAGGCAGTTTAAGCCAAACTATTTTATATCACGGTTGCAGGAGTTTAAAGCATGTACATGCCATGGCTCACAATAGCTTAGCTGATGGGTGGTAATTCGTTAAATTACCTCAGTTTCATTGTGGTTGTTGGTCTGCCAGCCCTGAGGTTCTGATCAGGCACATTAAACCTACCCCTTGGAGTAGGATCTATACCAATAAATTCTTGAAGAATTGGAATTATTTTAGGTAAGTACCTGATTTTTCTTTTGCTAGAAATACTTTGGATTTTCACAATAACGGTTCTTCACAACTAAACTTTGCATATATATTGATACACATGTATGTCAGATGGAGTTTATTTATTTGTATATAATTCAGTGGATTTTCTTGACAATTGTTAGGTTATTTAATCTTTCTTAAAGGTGGAAATACAGTAATAATACTCTTTAAATACAGTGACAGCTTGACAACTGCCCTTTCACTGGAAGCTTTTATTTACCTTCTGTTTCAGTGACAGAAGACTTTCTTAGCATGCCCAAGAAGTTCCCCAAAAGCACTGCTGTTACTCATCACTCTTAAATCATTAAATATGAGACTTAAAGCTTTGATCCTGCACAATGGACGCGTATGCTCTGCAATTTAGGGAGACAAAACCAACTAGAAGTATTTGTCTTTGTTCAGAATAAATTTCACAGTTACATCCAGGAACTTGGTTGTACTTTTTGTCATATGTATAATTAGATACGTGTATGTAAAGACTTCAGTATGCATGTTTAAGGTAGCCATTTCTCGAAGATGAGAGTTTCAGTGTGATCCTTCTAGTTTTACTTTTTTTCAAGTCCTGAACAGAATAGTAAATAACAGAAATGAAAATTGTTTCTTGTTGCAGCCTGTATCCTCATCTCTACTCAAGAGCATACATTAACTTTAGAAATCCTGAGGACATCCTTCTTTTTAGAGATCGCTTTGATGGCTATGTCTTCATTGATAATAAAGGTTTGGACTATTTGTAAGATATTAAGTGTGCATATATGCATATATCATTTTAGAACATTAATTGACTTCCTTTTTTTCTAATTATGCTGTGTTTTTTCCTCAATACACAGTTAATTACATAAAAATATATTAAAATCTAGTATTTAAAAGATAATGAAGTGCAAAATATATTTGTCCATGCCATCTTGCTTGCCTACATGGTATGCATGTTTTATCTGCATTCTTGTACCTTAAGCAATATACTATCAAGATCCTATTAAGATAAATATCTTATGCAAGTTTCAAAATTCATCTCAACAGTAACATGCAAGCATGAATTGTTACATCTTCAGTGTGTTTCTGTGAGATAAAGTTGTGACGCTTATTCCCATTTTTAAAAAGCAAGACAAAAACTTGACTTCATCAATTTGGTTGCCCGCTTGGAGATATGTACAGTTTGACTTTTTAGAGCATTTGCAGACATCTTGAGTTGAGTTCCAAGAAGAATGACAAAATTCAGGACCATCTTTAACATGCTCAGTCTGCAAAAATTTGCCCAACAGTAAAGAAAAACTCTCTAATACAGGTGTGTAGCATGACAGTAGCATGAAACAGCCATAGCCAAGAAATGGTGCTTTTCCTTTAGCAGTTCCTTGTCTTGGTCACTCATAACTTCTGTAAAAAATTGCATGTGTTGTATAAAAGAGAGAGAGATTTGTGGGTTTCTTGTATAGACATTGACTATTCTGTACACTCAGTGTTGTGGAGGGGAGGTCCTGTGAAAAGTAGTGTTGCCCGCTCTCACTGGAGAGTTAATCTCTGAAGAGGCCATTTGTGTAACAAATACCTCTTCGGCATTTGCCGCCTGAGGTATTTTATAGGCTTCTAACATAATCAGATTTGGATAGATTTTCTTAAGAGATGGAGAACACCACATTCCTTGCAGTGTGTGATTCCCAGATTTCAAATTCTGGCTGTTTAAGATGAAAAACTAGAAAGAAACTATTTTTATGGTTCTGCCAAGACTTCACTTTGCCTAGATTAAGCACATTCTTCAGTGTTACGCTGAACTGAAGCCAGAATATTCTGTTCATTGCAAAACTGAGCTTGGACACAGCTAGCCAGTTTGACATGAATATTTGTGCAAATAAAAAAGCACAGGTTTTGAACAAAGGTGCCCTCTGGTGAGGCTTGTGGCGGCATTGCATTTATGAGGCTAAAATGAAAACAAGCATTACCAGGTTCAGTTAGGGTTAACAAATGTTCTGACAGATTTAAGCCAAGTTTTCGGTGAACTTGAGCAAAAGGTAGTTTCGAACCTGCTGCAAGTGGAAACCGGGCGAAATTCAAAAGCTACACAAAGTTCTGACTCCAGTCCAAAGAAGAATCCAGTATTTAAGGCAGAGTTCACAGCAAAGAATCCGTGCCAGTAAACACAGGCAAGAAGTTGTGTAGTCCATCGTATGCAGAAAACCAGAAGTTTCATACAATTCTACATGCTGTTTGACAGTTTTGGTTCTGAAAGAAGGTGGTATGTTTTATTACCCAGCATTTACTTATTTTTTAAGCTTTTTTGGAAACGAAACTTTACAGAGGCAACTCAACTGTTTCAGATTCATTTCCCAGTAGTGCTTATCACTTACCGGGCTGAGATTTTATGTGATTTTTTCTAATCAATATCTGTAAAGAATTAATATTACAAATGATAACGCAGGAATTTTACTGTGCAACAGTAGTCATCTTAATTTTTGCAGTCTTTTTTTAGCATGTCAAAAAATATTTAATGTTTATGTATATAATTATAAATGTATTTTATTTTGAATCTAAATTATTGCTGCATGTAATGTTTCGTTAGGAGTTTAGGATGGGATTGTAGAAACATTCACCTTTAATCTCAAGTAAGACTGGGCAACACAAGTTTCAAGAGTTTTTAAAATCTTACTTGGGTATAGGGAATGTTTCTCCCCCTCAAAAAATTAAGCATTTATCTCTTTAAAGGTTTGGAGTATCCTGCAGTGGTTGAATTTGCTCCATTCCAGAAGATTTCAAAAAAGAAGCTGAAAAAGAAAGATGCCAAAGCTGGGAGCATTGAAGACGGTAAACATACTTTCTTGGTGTCGCAGTGGAAAATAGATTCCATTTCTGTCATGCATTGCAAAGTATTAACTCAAAAATTTTTCTTCACAGATCCAGAATATAGGAAATTTTTAGAGAGTTATTGTGCTGATGAAGAGAAAATCTGTGCCAATCCTGAGATTCTCTTGGGAGAGATTGAGGCCAAAACAAGGGAACTCATTGGTCTGTTTTCTTGATTTTTCTTACTATTGAGAATATTAAATAATTTTATATTTTTATGATATTACCTGCAAGAGGTGACCTTTTCAGTCTAACAGATTTGAGTTTATTGCAGTTAAATTTTTGTTATCCAGCCAAGTAGTGGCAGGAAACACCCCACCTGTTCTTTTAAGTCTGTACATGGAATCACTTGACCTCACTGGAAGTTTCGTATGCACAGTGGCTTCAGAAATAGGTCCTTAATACTTGTGAATATTTACATATGTATTAAAAGATGGCAGATTTCTTTTTCAAAGGTAAAATAGCTGAATACTTAATAATCGATCCCTGATGTTAGCTGCTTTTATCGAGAAGCATGAAATGATCTTTGTTCTCATGGTCAAGATCCTGCAAAAGCTTTGAAAGTGAGGCAGCACCTTGTTTTCTGTATGCATGCAGCATGACTTCCACAGTCTCAGGGGGAATCTTTAGTAAGATCAACACTGAAATCTTCAATGCCAGTATGGAGCTTTCAGGTTGACACAGAATATTGATGTCCTGTACCTCCAGGTGACAACATGCAGAACACTTACTCTTTCACTAGGTGTGACAAGCAAGTAGGAAAAAAAAAAATGTCCTTTGCTGTTATTTCTTTACCGTGTAAAAGTAGCCACTTATTTTTATTAGAATCATAGAATAGAATCATTTAGGTTGGAAAAGACCTTCAAGGTCATCGAGTCCAACCGTTAACCTAAAACTGCCAAGTCCACCCCTAAACCATGTCCTGAAGCGCCACATCTACACGGCTTTTAAATACCTCCAGGGATGGTAACTCCACCACTTCCTTGGGCAGCCTGTTCCAGTGCTTGACAACCCTTTTGGTGAATGAATTTTTCCTCATAGCCAATCTGCACCACCCCTGGCGCAACTTGAGGCCATTTCCTCTTGTCCTATCGCTTGTTACTGCTGTTTGGGAGTTGACTGGAGAGATTTGGAACTTAAACAATTTAGACAAAATGGTAATGTTAGAAGTAAGGACATTTAGATAATTCTGTTATCAATAAAACTTCTTTGTTGCTGTTCTAGATGGAGAAGTTCCCCAACAATTTTTATTTACCCCAAATCTTCCCTAGTATTTGACAGCAGAGTAAAAGCAGTCAAAATTTTCTAAGAAGTTTACAATTTACAAAAAACTTACAATTTCAGGAAGGATTATTAACTTAAAATTACTCTGTCAGTGAAAATTATTAGTCTTGAGAGTTGCAGATTTCTGAGTAGCAATATTGTCCGAAGGCAGCTTTATATTAGGGGTTTTAGTGTTTTGTTTCTGTTAAATCCCAGGAAATCAAATTAGTTGCTTTATTTTTTCTGCTATTCAAAACTGTGCCTATTGCTATCAATATGAAAACAAGGATTACTTCAGTGGATAGCATGTTTATAGCAAAATTATGTAAGGATTTATTTGTATGTCCAGTTTCAAAGGTGTTACTCCTACTGAAGTTAATGCAAGACATGCCCACGACTTTGTTGGCAGAATTGGGCTTCACATTCTCAGCATTTCTTCAGGTAGTGTTACCACAAACCAACATGTTTTATGCATCATGTCAGGTGCGTTAGCTCATCAGCTTCAGTGTGCCAGAGAGATAGAACGGATTTTCTCTGTAACAAGTTGAAGATAAATTCATTCTTCTGTCTTGTTTGTAGCTGAAATAGAGAAGTTACTGCTGACACAGGTCTTCATTTTGTAATTTATTTTCTTCCAGAATTTCTTAAACATTTTAAGAAAAGTCTCAGATTTTTATTTGCAGTAAAGCCCATAAATAATATGGGTAAAATTCAGGTTTGATAAACATTACTTTTTGCCCTCCTCTTTTGATAGGACTCATCACACTGCCTCTCTCCCTTGAACTTCAAGTTATAATTTCTGATTAAACGTCTTGCCCCGCAGCCGTAGTCATGACTAAGGTCAAGTTGTGGGCCCCCGATGCAGCTTATCCTTTCCCCAGACCCTCCAGTTACAATCTGTGATCACTTTCAGCATGTAAAAGTGCCCAGAGGCAGACACTGCTCAGACAGGGGAACTTTCAGGAGCAGGAGACTGAGGGACTGGTAGAGAGGATGCTGGGGACCTAAAATTTGTCCAAAATTATGGGCAGGTGGAAGAGAGGTGGGGTGGTAGCATGGGAAATACAGGGATGGTGGGAGGAAGAACTCAAATCAACAGTCTTTATTTGTTGTTGCTTTTGACCATTGACACTTGCTAAAAATAAATAGTGAATCCTATCAATCCTTCTCATTCATAACTGCGTAACAAGGTTTTATCATTAATGAATGGGTTGCCCCCAGGATATTCACACTTTCAAGACAAAAACATTCAAATGTTTTTGTGATGTGAGTTGTGTCTAGATTTCGGCTATGCCATTTCAAATTTGATGAAAACATTTTTTTATTTCTTCTTTTTTTTCTTTTTCTTTTTTTTTTTTTTTCCAAATCCTGTCATGCATTCCAATAATTAAATTTTCTTCTGGTTTGAGGAAGAATTGTATCCATAACTGTAGAGCAATTTCTAGTAGTAACCATTATCTGTAACTATCCTGGGACGTCTAAGAGTGACAAAATTTGTTGTAATGACTCACAGCTTAAGTACATGAAATCAAGATTGAATTCAGTACTGACAGTCATGAATGATATACATGATATAAAATGTAATGTTGTTCTCCAAGTTTTTGTAGAATTTGGGGATGGTTGAAGCAGGTGGATTAGGCTAGACTTTGGACTGTAGAGGAAGCTCTGTAACATAAAAATAGCTGTGTGATCCAGTAGATGAGGCATTTTATTTGTTGCTTGGAAGACAGAGTTGTATTGAATCTGCTGATACTTTGTTACGTAACCTAGGACAAACCACTTAGGACTTTTTCATCCCATTTTCCCATGGAGTGGTGAATGCTAAATGGTAGTTAAATGGAAATATTATACGAGAATGAAAATGTTTCCTTCATGATGTACTTTGAAATTTGGGATTGAAAAGTGCTCTGTGAGATTACACTAATGTGGGCTGTATGTGAAGAGCAATATAGCTAGGTTTTGATGTACAAAATTAAAATGTAGGAATAGATTCTGAACACATTTCTTTCCTTTTTGGTGAAATAACTGTTTGATGAGCAAGAGAAAAAAGCCATTCTTTTGAACTGAAGGGATATGATTCTTAATTAAGCGTCAAATTATCATGCACCATATCTCTGTTGCTTCTAACCCTAACAGCAAAAAAGCAACAAAGTGTTTCTAAAGCAGAATGATGGGAATGCCTTCAAACATATATATAAAACAAACAGGTTTATTAATTATTTAGCTCCCTTGCAGATAAAGCTAGAAAAAAGGGGTTAGTACTAAAGTAAAGAAATGAGTACATATTTTAGGAGTTGAACACTATATCACAAATTTTTTGTGTTTTAGCTAGAAGAACAACACCCCTTTTGGAATATATTAAAAATAGAAAATTAGAAAAGCAGGTACGTTCAGACTTTTGCCTGAAGTTCAACATTTATGTTTCACATGGTTTTCGGTTGGACAATTTACAATTAATCATTTTGACCTCTTCAGAGAATACGAGAAGAGAAAAGAGAAGAACGAAGGCGGAGAGAATTGGAGAAGAAACGCCTGCGGGAGGAAGAGAAAAGGAAGCGCAGAGAAGAAGAAAGACGTAAAAGAAAAGAAGTGGAGAAGCAGAAGAAAATTTCTGAAAAAGAAATAAGGATCAAGGTACCTTAATGAAAAAAGGTTATTCTCTTGGAGTTACCCAGAAGTTCCCTTGGTGCCTCACTGTTTAATTAGTGTACTACAGTACAGTGTGGAGCTACCGAACCAGTTTTGACTGGAAGGGAAAGTAATGTAGGACTTTGACTAAGTAGTGTTGTTTGAAAGTGTGACTGATTGCCTCAGGTACAGTGATGCACTGATGCAGTTCCAGCAGGTAACTCAGATGCCTTTATAAAACACCACTGCATTCTGTGGCAATAATCTGACAGAACCAAATTCTTCTGTGTCAGAAGATTATTGCAGGTATGGCTTTAACACTATGTCATGTAAATCTTCATCTAGTCATATGTGCAGAGAATTTTTTGTGTTTATGCTCAGAACTGATGAATTTTAATAGTACGTTCGACCAAAGTTATAACAAAGTCTTGCTAATTTCAGGCTGCGCTGCCTTATAACGACCTGAACGGACGTGCTTTGTTAATGACTTCACTTAGGCGAGTGTATTTAGTGCTATTAAGTCTGGACGTTTAAAACCTTATTTGTATAAGAAGACATAGATGAAAGCTATTCATCTGAACTCAATTTTGCAGTATTGGAAAGGCTTTATAAGCTGTTTCGAATAGGAAAGTCGATACAAATCTGTAGCTTAACGCAAGGACGCACAGACCCACTACAGGTCTTGTGGAGGGGAGAAGCCACAGAGCTGTGTACTTCTTTCCTCTCACTGGACAACAGTTTGCTTCACCTGGATGTGTACAAATAGTAAGTTCTGAAGCCAAATTACAGATTTTTCATATCTGGGCATAAAGAAGAACACTCTAGAAGTTCAGAAGAGAAGGGACTGACTTCTTAAAATGTGTTACCCAAAATTGGTTCTCCAAAAAAGCCCAGTATTTATGACATATCTGTGGTGATGTGGCCTTAAAAGTTTTGTCTCTGAGAGAAAAGGAAAATAGTACCTGAGAGAAACATTATAGAAGTCTTAAATAGAGGAAAAGAATAACCTGTGCTCATTTTGGAAGAACTGATAGACTAAAAAGACTGATGAGAAGATCTTCTTATTCCTGAAATGTTAGAGAAATAGTTCGAGACAGTTGGTCCTTCTATAAATACTATTCCTGTAATGCTAGACACTACTCAAGCCCTTTGTGGGTAATTTGTTATGAAAGCAACAAACTTCTTAGAAATCTCGATCTCTGAGGTGAAAATGTCATGTGATCTTTCTTGCCAATATAATAATTTTTTCCTCAGTCTGTATCTCTCTCAGGGTGTATTTGTACTAAGCATTTTCTTCTGTATGTCAGTCTATCCCAAGTAGTTTATGTGGCACACATTTTATATATAATATTTCAAGCAGTGAAGTATTAATCCTGCTCTCTTTGTAGCATTGTAGAAGTTCTACTTATTTTATTGGCAATAACATTGAGCTCTGTTACATGATTTTGAAGAAATCGTAGACCATAATAATGTCTTTTATATAAAACTCAGGAGAGAAGAGTAGGTAGGTGCTTTCTCCAGTATTCCTAGCATATTTAAAAGTATGCAGTTGAATGGCTGTTAACGACTATCACTCCTCAGCAAAAGTAAACTACCCTTTTAAAATAACTTTAAATTTCATACTTTGTAAAATACATTCCTAGCTTTTAAATAAGATTTTCAATCTCAATAGGTTACTGATATATTTAATATGCTGTTAAAATGTCTGTTACAACAGAGGAGAAAAATTTTGCATCATAATATAAACAAATATCTCTTAGCTTCTCAAGAAGCCCGAAAAAGGAGACGAACTGTCCAGTGAAAAGCACAAAGAAAAAGGTGAAGAAGCTGACATTGAGGAAAACAAATGGGATAAATCACCTGGATCTGGGAGTATAAAATCCAAATCTTTGGAGGGTTCACTAAAAGAACCTAAGGAAAAGTAAGTAAGATTTAACTTCTAGGCTTCAATTTAGATTCTAAATGCTTTCATCTCAAGGCTTGAACGTGATACAAGTGGTGCATTGACTGGATGTTTTGTCAGCAAAGAACTGATTTTGTTCTGTGTGTGAACTGTCCTTTTTGTAAAAAGAGCTTAGTAACAGCTTATAGACCTGATGGCAGTATTAGGGGATGAAATTTGTTATTTTTGTAATGTTTGGAAATCCCAGATGGGAAGGATTTCTGCATGAAAAGTCACTCAGAGTTTCATTGTTATTTCACCTGTTCACCTTCAAGAGCTCAGGTAAGGCCCTCCTTCCATTACTGATGTCAAAGACTAAATTGGTTAGGATGCCTTACTTTTCCTTCACACTTGGTTTTGCTGCAATAAATATATAAATGTGTTTGGTAAATGGCAGAATAGTTAAGGTATGAATGATAGCCTTGTGACAGACACATGTAGAAGGCTGCCTCTGTCTCCCACTGCCTTTTGTGTTACATATGTAATAGTAGGAACAAGAGTTACAGCTCAGTTCTGTTACTACTATAGCCTGGAAATGTCCTACAGATGTTTTCAGCAGTTGGTGCTCTCTCTTGTCCTTTGGCACGTGTATCCCATCGCAAGCAGCATCCACCTGTAAGATACGTGAGATACACAACTAAGAATAATACACGGCTGAGATAAATAATACTTTGTTCTTCAGTAGAGTTTTTCAGCTAAGTTCTCAAAAGTGCTTTGTAGTACCTAAGGACAATCTCGAGCATTTAAATAAGTTACCTAAGATATTATATATAAATTATTAGAGGAAGTTTGAGAAAGTGCTCTAGGAGCCTTGCAGGCTACCTGCCTATTCTGAGTAGTTTAAATCTTCCCTTTGTCCACATAGGTTCTTGGTTTTTCTGAAAAGCATGCAGGAGCTGCAAATGTTCTCATAATGTCAAATAGAAAAACAAAGAAACTGTGAACACTGGAAAATAAACCTACTGAATTGGCTAATTGAAGAAATTAGCAACTCATCTTTTTTTGTCTCTGACTAAGGGCTTCAAACATGGGCTCAGTGTTTCGGTACATTGAGTATGACCGGAAAGATGCTGAAAACTCCCATTTCCTATTCTCTAATGGAAATTGAAAATACTCAGCAACTCTTTCACTGATGTTTTTCAACAAAGGAAACAGAACAGGGTCAACAGAAACACTTGCAGGGGCAAGTCAGTCACTTGCTAATAAGGCTTTTTATGTATTAAGCTTTTCGTAGCACCATACAACATTTTTACTATTGATCCTGTAAGTTTAATAAGGCATTAATGTAGATTTTCCAGGTGTAAACCAGAATCCTTTTGGCTGTGCAGCTACAGTAAGTGTTACCTTGTCTGTCCAAGTGCTCATTTCATCATGATTATTACTGGGTGTGATTAGCTAGCAAGCTATGAGCTATTTTATCTGGATTGAGAATGCAGGTTGAAACTACTTTGTCATGGACTCAGAAATCAGTAATAAACTGTAACTTCCAACTCTACGTGCAGGAGACTGAATTACCTGTTTGAAACCATGTTTTAAGGCTCAGTGGAGGTAACTTTCTACCACAAATTAAAACCTCAATAGGTGCATGAGTGTACATGGTCACATACGAGTTTGAAACTTTACCAAACAGAAGTATGTTTCCATTCCCTTTACTTCCACTCATTTCTGCTTTCTCTTTCTCTGGCTGTGTAACTTTTTCTTCTACTATACTTTGGAATTGCTTACCCCACCATTTCCACTCTTGCCTGCCTGTTCGCCATCACTGAATTTTAGAAAGCTACTTGAACCACTCTTGAGCTGGAGTTTGTATCTCCCCACCAGGCACATCCATCTCTTCCTCTCCCACAATAACAGGGACCAGGCAATGCCACAGCAGCAAACCGAGATGGGACCTTCTGGCTTTTTGGAAGGTCGTGCTCTGAGCCTTGCTAGGACTTAGTGTCTAGAATAGCATATTAAACACGAAACAAAACAACTTCTAGCCACATACCCCCTGAGAGTTAACACAGTATTTTATATATAGATATCTATGCTACCGGTACAGCATCTCCGTAAATGTGATTGATTTGGGTGTCTGTGACTGCTGGGACATCGCTTCCTCTTAGTGACTCTGTTATGCTGACACAAGCAGAGTCTTGCGAAATGCTGAATAACTTACCTGTCATTCGGGTTTTGTTGCTGACCTCCAGCTCTTCCCGAGATGGGGCACCTGTCTTGGCAGCCCCATCAATGGCCAAGTTCATGGCAGAGGCTGACAATTTTCACAGTTCTGCTATTTAAAAAAAAAAAAAAAAAGAGCGATATAGAAAGATAAACTTTTAACCCGTTCCAAATGAGAAGCATATCACTATTTGATCACTACACTATTAGGAAATCTCCATCCTCTCTGATTCTGTCTGCTGATTCCCAAAATGTAATCAGATTGTCAAAAGCATCTTTCCTATTTCAAGTATTTATATGTATGTAATATATAAAAAGAAACTGCCTGTGTTTGCTCCCTTTAAAGTTCAATCTATTCTGTAATCTTTCTTCATTATTTGCAGTTTGGCTGTATGAGAGAAGCACCCACTTGCTGAACAGGAACAATGAAGTGAATAAGAGAGCTGAGAATTGTATCAGACAGGCAGCAAAATATTGCAAACTAATAGACTTTATAATATAAACCCATTGCAGCATAGCAGAAATTAAGTATTATGTTGTGGTAAGGTAATGGTCTTTTGCCTAAATAAAGTATGCAAAGGTAGGCTAAATTACTTGGAGACATAAGAAACAAAAGCCAGGAACATAAGTATTCATTTTCACAACTGCCTTCTGCAAGTTGCAATGCCAGTGAATAATTTTTGTTAATAGAGTCATAAAACTTTACAAATTGATACATGATACCTGCCCAATTCCTTCAGGCCCTGAATGTTCCCTTTCAAGGGAATCCTACACACGTGAGTCACCTCAAGAACAGGCCACAAGAGCTAATCATGCAGCCTGTGTTTATGTGAAGAGTATTGGGGAACTATTTATGGGATTGCAAAGAGGGATAAAAGTTGAAGAATGGGCCGTCCGCAACAGTGGCACAAAAGTCTGGTTTTGCTTGTAAATCTCTGTCTGCCGTTTTGAACTGAATGCATAGTCAAGGGCTGGACATAAATGGATGAGACATTCAGCAAAATTGCACATAACCCCTCTTTAATGAGAAGAAGGCAGCCTTGCTGTACATTTGCTCTAAATACTGTTGAAGTCAGAGGAAGGCTTTGTATTGTATCCTTCAGCAGCTTTTTTTACCGTTAATTGCTTGGATTTTCTGTCTTTTTATACATACTTGTAGGTCACAAAATGATAGTGACAAAGAGCAAAGAGATTTGGAGAGAAGATTTCGAGAAAAAGAACCTGAAAGACAAAGGTATCGATTGGATGATGGCAGAAAGCATAGAGCTCACTATGAGTTTGACAAGTTTGTGAGAAGGAATGAAGAGGAGCTGAAATGGGGGAAAGGATACAACCAAGACAGAGGAAAGAAAGGGAACTACAACTACAGCTTCACTGTGGAGGCAGTAGACAAACTGGGTAAAGAGGACAAGTGTGATGACATGGCATCCAAAAAGGAGCGCATAAGAAATAAGGTTCTTCTATTCATTTAGGATAATCTTTCATTAGTTACATATGCTTCAAGATCGCAGGTTTTACTTTTGCAAACTCAGCATAAAGATGCTTTTTCAAAAAAAGCAGCTCTTTATTTCGTTTTCAGTAAAACCTAGACTTCTTTTTGTTGTTATCAGAGGACAACAGCGGTTAAAATAAGTTAAGGTTACAGGTCTCTGCTCATTCATATTTACAATATGTAGATGCCTTTCTCTCTTCCTTTCAACCCTAGCATTTTTCGAATGCTATTCTTGGAAGCCTTGTATTTTATGAGTATATTAAAAATTGTTATACTTTTGATCTGTAATGAAATCTAAAAACTGTGGCACTTTTAAAAATGTACTTTCATTACCCAGCTCATAAATTATATTACGGATTGGCCAGGCATTGCTTGGTAGAGGAACTATAAGGACTTCAATAAATAGCTAATTCAGAGACCATTGTATTTGGAGGATGCGAATGTGCAGATGCTTCAGTATTGTGTGCCTGTCAGTATGAAAAGGCTGTTGTTTGGTGAGGACAAATTGTCCTCATGGTGGTTGTCAGGGAAGGAGCAGGTGCAAGCCCAGCGCAGGCGGGGCCTGGAGCAGGGTGTGTAGTAGAGCTGCCCCTTATTCTCTCCCAGAGGCATGGGCATCAGTTTTCTCAGGCTGCCTGATTTCATGGATGTGCCAGGGTCTTTTCAGGAGGTGGCCCTCCTTGTCATCCTCACTCTCTCTCCCTTCCGAGCCTTGCTTTCCCACAAAGGAGACGCTGTTTTGTGTAGGAATTTATTCTGCACGTGAAGCTCTTCTTTCAAACCAAGTGACTGATCTGTGGTGGGTGCCGAGGCTGACAAGGAATGAACTGGTCACGTGCAGAGTGAGTCTGCATGGAGTGCGCATAGAGCGAGTCCAGGTGGACTCACTGTGGGTGTCAAGTAAGTCACCGTGTGCAAACACAGCCTGGTGTCCCCTGCTTCTTGTTTATGCAAAGGTCAGCTGGGCAGCATGGGTGAGATTTACCTACGTATACACATCAGCTACTTTCCACACACACCAGCAGCTCCAGCTGCAGAGCAGTCCAGAAAAATGGCTGGTTCAGAAACGGGAAGGTGGGACAGACAGTTTTCCTCATGCTTGCCACGCTGCTCTTGAAATCTGGTGAAATAATCTACAACCTTGGAACTGGATGGTGGGTCTTGGGGTCCTTTTGTCAAGCCTTAAGAAGCTGCCTCCTTTTTATTTCTTCCCACCGTACTTCTCGTAGCTCGCTGAGTCTCTGGATTAGTCCACACGTCAAGTGCTGGATTGTTCCCTAAACAAAACAAGCAGTATCAGTAAAGTTGTTTGCAGCGTGGTGACTTTTTTTCCTTAGCATATTTATCACATAGATAAGAGCTAGGGGCTAAGTTTTCCAGCTTACCTATAGAATTAACAATGCCACCACAAGTTTTTAGGCAGAGGTCGACCTTCTTTCTGAAGTTGATAAGAATTAGAAAATGGGAAGTTTCGAGTCTAAGTAACAGTTGCGCTAGCTTTCAGGCAAACTGCAGGGTACAGAGTCTGTGCTATGGAAAATCATTTGAACCCTTTATCATGAACTCCCCAATGGGCACTGCTTGTCAGAGGATCTAGTTTTATTGCAGCTGTTTGTGAGGTAGAAAGATATGGCATTTCATACCACACTACAAAGCGCTGACTAAAATGATCTAGTTTATGGCCCAATAGTGAATCTTGATTTCTGGTCTAAAGAGATGGAGAAGAAGGTGGAGTGAAAAAGACCAAGGTGAAGGAAAAAGAAAGAAAAAAAGGAAATGCGTATTGAGAATAAAAAAGAATGAAAGAACAAAACACCAGAATGACTACAAAATTATGAAGGCGATTGAAAATTCATATAGTTTGATGTAGGACAATTTCAGTGTTCTACTACTGTCTTAAAAATAGACAGTTCTAATTTTGTTTGCTAAACTTCACACAAGACTTCACTCAGAAAGCTCAGGTTTTGGTGAATGGGTTGCTTCATAGCGTTAAAAAATGGTATTTGTGAGAGTAAAACATTCTCACTAGGAAAAGACTTCTTCAGCAGAGTTTCTAAACGGGATGCTCTGTTACTGAAATTTCAAGAATAAAAAGTGCTCTCGGGAGCTATGGAACATCACCATTTGCAAGTTTGAGGTGTCTTTTCCTTGTAAACTGGCTCCTCCTTCCATTTTCCAGTGATCAAATCAGCGTATGTATGATTGGGTCACTCACAAAGCCTGGGCGTGCTCAAGCTGTACTTACTTTGTTTATTATCAGCGGGTGAATTCCCCTACTCTCACACTTAGCATGGAAGGCACGATGAAGTGGAGCTGTTTTATTTTGACTTGTAGAATTTAAATGTGCATTCCGTGTTTAAATGGTGGTCATGTTAGATGATTTGGAGAGCACAGCACACATAACAATTGGTAAAGTTCAGGTGAGGATAATTTTCTAGCTGTTACCTGGCTAAACTGTTCTCTGGCTTGTCTGATTTCTTTATGCTTACATTTAATATTTGTCATTCATCTGCAGAGTTGAAAGCGTGCATTGTTCTAGAACAACTGCAAGGCTACTGTTCTTCTCAGTTGATGTTAGTGAAGGTAGCAACATTTTTCAGGGTTTTACCTGTAATACTGTGTTTGATAAGTGTCTTCAATATTTCTCCTTGTTTACATCAAGCGCATCGTAGGATCTTTAATTTTTACAGCTTTCTTCATTTATTCAAAATGCTTGGCTCCCAAGAATAGTATTATAAACAAGACAGGTATTAAATACACAGTCAGTTTTCATTACACTCCATTTTTTTTCCCGGGCCTTATGAAATGTGATTTAACACAAACTCTGCTTTCTTCACAAACGTTCATTGCTTCACAATCCCACGTGTGTATCCCACGCAGGTTTCTCGGAGCGTTAACCACATCTCCTTCCTTCCAGGATCGCCCAGCCATGCAGTTATACCAGCCAGGAGCTCGCATTCGAACACATACGGGATCTACAAGTAAAAGCTATGACTGCAGTGGGAAAGCCTTTGAAGATGCTCTTGATAAAAAGTACGAGGCAGATAATTCAGCTGGAGGTGGTTCTGAGAAGAGCGAAGAAGCAGCATAAAACAAACGGGAGGAAAGACTCGTGAAAAGGGATGAACGTAAGATTCCGTGTCGTCACAGAAAAATCCACAGGGCTGTTTCAGAACTCCACAGGCGATCGCACCAACAACATTAGAATAGCTCTGCCTCTTACTTTCTGTAAAATAAAGGGAAGAGTGACTGGAGATGTACAAAGTATCTTACAGCAAAGGAATATAGTTGCTTTTTTACAAAAAGCGACGCAAACACTATTTGCCTAATCTAAAAGCGGTTCAATATTTTATTAGATTTACCTTGAAATAGAAAACCTCTGACAGTTTTAAACGAGTGTTTATACGAGACTTTTCAGAAGCTGTCTCACCTTTTCAGGTCTAAAGAAGTGAAATGTAGATTTACATCAGTTGGAAATCTGAGGCACTTTAAAGGTATTTGGTGCGTGACACGAGGGTCCCAGGACCCCCTTCCTGCAGATGGCAGGGGCAGGGGCTGGGGGCTGCAGCCGGACGCGGTGGGGCCGGCCCGGGAGGGAGCTCTGGAGCCAGCAGCGTTTGCAGGATGAGGCCCACAGTTTGCACAGTTGTGAGAAGTGTCCGTTGGTATCTGTACCTCATTGTGTTTACATTGTTTTCCAGTTAACTATAGCGTCAGATAAGTGTTAGTGCAGCTACAAGTATGTTGTGAGAGAGTTGGTCATTTTCTGAGCCACTTTTGCCTTTTATGTTTTGATAGATTCTTGTGCTTAAAACAGAAGAATGCTAACGCAAACCTCAGCACTTAAACAATATATCTGGTTTTAATAAATTAGATGGTTTTTTATGTTTTTGACACTGACTTTTAAAAAAAAAAAGGTGGTTGTACAGTGATGAATTTTTATATGCTAATGTTTCATATAAGTTGCGGTTGCAGGATTTGGAAGATGTATGATACGTGAACGTTCTGCAGTTCTATTTGTTAAGAAAATAAACACACATGAACGTCAACTGCAAACTACCGTTTTCTAAGAGCTGGGCCAAATTCTGCCCTCGGATGCAGGCACATATATATATATATATATATGTGTGTGTGTGTGTGTGTGTATATACCTATCGATCTGTATCTTCCATTGGTTTCAACGATAGCTTCTTGTTTACAGAAGGGCAGGATATGTTCATTTATCTTTCTTTCGTGGCTGAAAATTTCTCAGTTGTCTGAAACCGAGACCTGCTTTGTCATTGAAGTTAAATAGTAAGATATTAATTTATTTTTACATCCTCTTTGAACATTTTATTATTAAGCATAACATCTAATTGTTCTAGACTGAAAAACTATTTACTGTATTTTCCCAGATACTAAGCATTAAACAGAATAAAAGCAAAAGATTTTGACTGATTCTGAGATGAGGTCTTCTGCAATTTTTTCATCTATTACTCTAGAAAAATCAAGCAAGACGCTATGCTACTTTGAATTCTTCAGAAGTAGTTAAAAATATAGAAGAATTTTAATATCAAGCTACCTAAGTGATCTTCCAACTGAAATAACTTCAAGCTTAAGTAAAACTGCTGTTAGAGAATCACTTGTGTTTAGCTCCATCTGAAGTTTATCTTGTTTGCCAAGATTATCCTGACCGCAGAGAAAGGATTCTGCCTTGGTGTCCTGGTTGAGTCAGGTCGTGTTGGCGTGGGGCGAGTCTTCCCCTCATGAAAGAGCCCGGTGTGATCCGAGAAGAAGGGAGACTTTCCAGGAAAGTTCTCCTGCAGTAGAGCCAGGCAGAGCTGAGACCTTCACCAGACGAGGGCCCGCGCCAAAGGAAGCATTGCCCACCCGTTGGGACGCCCGGGGAGGCTGGAGGAGAGGCCTCACCTGTGAGAGGGGCCCGCAGGACGCGCAGGAGCGGTCGCTTGGTGCAGGAGCCAGTGATGCTCCCCCGCCTTCACCTGGCTGCCTGGCTTCTGAGTACCTCTTGATCGCATTATAGGTAATTAAGACAGTTCATTTAGCAGTAATTTTCCTTCTGGGGCTTCTTACTTTCCATCTCTTTTAGTTACCAGAAAGTGGATGTGTGCCGGGTTTCTGTGGTGGGGTTTTTGGTGGCAGGGGAGGGGGCTACGGCGGTGGCCCCTGAGAGAAGCTTCTGGAAGCTCCCCCGGCTCCAGGTCGGCCCCAGCTCTGGCCGGGGCCGAGCCAGTTCGCGACGGTGGCTGCGCCTCTGCCGTAACGGATTGAGGAAGGGGAGTCTGGGCGCAGGAGTTGGGAGTTGTGAGGAGGAGCTGGGAAAAGGGCGCCCGTGGGAACGCCCGGGTCAGTGGAAGGGAGGAGGAGGAAGTGGGGGGCAGGTGCGCCGGAGCAGAGCCCCCCCCGTATCCCGTGGGGAGGCGGCGGGGCGGACCCCCTGCCACCCGTGGAGGTCACCGGTGGAGCAGAGGCCGGCCTGGAAGCTGTGGAGCAGCCCGTTCCAGGACAGGCGCCTGCGCCAGGAGAAGGCCGGGACTCTGAGGGGAGAAGCGGCCGCCGCTGTTGTCGTGCGGCGCCGGGAGAGCTGCGACACGCAGGGGTGCCCCACGCCAGGAGCCCCGTGGAGCAGGGGAGGGATGTGCGGCGTTCCCCCCGCCCCGCTCCACCGAGGAAGGAGCATTGGGCTGACTGTGACCCCCATCCCCTGCCCCCCTGGGGGAGGAGGGAGAGAGATGGGAGCAGAGCTGAGCCCGGGGAGAAGGGAGGGGTGGGGGCAGGTGGGTTTTTTGGGCCTGGTGGTGCTTCTCAGTGTCCCACTTTGTTAAGTGTTGTTTTTGTTGGTGACTGAATTAAAGTGAAGTTCTTTTTCTTCCCCCAAGGAGTCTGTCTTTTGCCTGTGACTGTAACGGGTGAGTCACCCCTCCCTGTCCTTACCTGGATTCCTGAGCCTTTTTGCTTCATTTTCTCCTTCCCATTCTTGAGAGGGGAAGGGGTGAGTTGCTGTCAGTGAAGCGAGTCCTCCCTCACTGGCAGCAGCTGCCGGAGCGGCAGAAAGGCGGCTGCTCTGCAGGGGAAGGGGAGCTGGGCTCGGCAGGGACTGTGCCCTCTCCAGCGGGTCTGTGGTGGACAAGTTGGTCCGAGGTCAAGCCAGGAAATGGAGTGGGTGGGTCGGGGTGCAGGAGGTGCGTGGCCAGGCACGGCTGCCCCGTGTCAGGGCTGACCTTGAGCACAGGCAGTCAAACCCCTTGGAGCAGGGAGGGAGGAGGCTGCAGAGCCTTTTGGTGCACCTGGGGCCCTGACAGAGCCTCTCTCCATCAGCAGCATCCTCACGGCTCTTTCCTGTTCTCTTCTGCTCTGTGAGAGAGAAGTACTTTGAACAGCAATGCCCTCCTCTCCCTTTATACCACTGAAAAACGGCCGCGGTGGCCGCAGACTCTCTTTGCTGCCTGAAGGCTGCCAGGGGTCTGCAGGGTCCCCAGCAGGACCAGGCTGGTGCTCTCCACCCCACCTCCGTGTCAATGCTTCAGACAAGTTTTGAACTACGGTCAGCCCCAACCTTTCTGCAATTCAAGGTACAGCCAGCATCTAGCCTGTCACCAGCTAATCCTTCTCATCAACATATACAGCAATGCCCCAATCTGTTGCCTTTTGAGTCCCAGCCTCTCCCAATTTTTTTCCTCCTAACAGTGTTGACATATTCCTAGCCCAGTTTTCTTGCATTCATGATCACATTTTAAAATAATTAGGTTACGTGAGGATCATTTTGTGTTTATTCTTCTCTCCTTTTCGTTTATTGTACCATAGAGTGGGTGAGGAACATCTTTGGCAACCACGTGCTGAAGTACACGGTTAATCTGTGCCAGGGGCAATGCGACTTTCTCATCCAAATGCTCAAGAACGTAATTACAGACACCGTCATTTCTAGATGCTGATGACCTTCAACAGCTGTCACAAACATGCAAGAAGTTCCGTCCAGTAATGTCAGATACTGGTGCTCGTATTCCAGTTCACTGTTAAGAAACGACGTGAGGTGGAACTTCGCTTCAGTCTCATTCAGTAAAGCCACCCGCATTTCTGCGGTATCCAGAGACGGAAAGCAGCACAACGCGGGGACCTGGGCACAGATCAGCAGTAACCAGGCCAGGTCCTTCATGCCGTGGATAATCTAACCACTCTGCCTGGCCAGCTGCATCCTCCAGTGTTACTCTTCTGTCAGTTCATAAGAGCTGGCAACTGATATCTTAATTAAATAAAACAGAACCCAAACCCTGCAAATTTTATGCTGAATATTCGTATTTGACTTGAGAATATATATACATTTTTAAAGAGAAAAAAAAAAAACACTCCCACTTTCCCAGTTGTGCATCTTTTTTGTATCTCCCACCTTCTGCACGTGCTGGGAGGCAATCACAGATCCTGCCTGGACCACGAGTCAATATGCTGTGTTTGTACCACCACCTAAAAACCCTCTGAAATTAGTCTCTACGTTTTTGGAGAGTATTTATTTTTTTCTAATCAAGGCTGCTAGTTGGAATTGGGCAAAGAACCCTGCATTCACAACTGCAGCCCAATGTCTTCTTTGTTTGTGTCAGTTTGAATCAAAATACTGTAATATTTATATATGCCGCAGTAATGAGCCTCTGATAGCACTTACACACTTGTAGATGAAATATGCAAATGACACCTGTTCAGGAGCTCATGATGCGGCCTAACGAAGTGTAAACCACAAAATATAGCTGGAAAATATTTATTTTTTAGTTATGCAGCAGTGGAGAGGTTTGGGAGAGAGGTAAACTATTAAGAGATAAACCAGCTCTTGGTAAGAAGAAGATGACATTTTCAGTCTTCAAGAAGAACTTCAATGAAAAGCCCAAGTGGATGCAGAGAAGACAGAATGCATTCTTTTAAATCCCTAGGCAATTATCAGATAAGACTCAACAGCTTTCCCATTTGTTTCACATATTCTCTTTCAAAGGAAACAGTTATAAATAATTAATAATGATAATTTTCAGTTTCTCCTCTCATCCTTTAAGACTCAAACAGCACCACCAACTGACAAGTTGCACTTCCGGCTGATTTTTAACATTCTGTCAGGTTTGGGGGAGAAGTACTAAGTGAGTTTAATTTTTCTTTCCTCTTTAAGCTTGTTTGATTTTGATGTTCAACATCATTTGTGCGCAGTCTGTGGTTTTGTCATGTTAACATGTCACACTTTTGTTTGGGCTGTTCAGGACTAATGCTGCAAGTAGAGGCTACCAGAGTAACTGCCTGCAGCACGAAGAGCAGTGCTGGCTTACCATGGCTGGTGAGATGAGCCATCGACCTCCAAAGACTCTCCAAAAACAACTTAACTCACAACCATTTGATTTTAAATGAAAAGAAGCAGCAGAATATGTTTAAAAATTGAATGTGAAGTTGGCAGCACGATGTTTTGGAGTTGTAGTAAGCTTCTCTTTCAAACTGCGACAGGCACAAATGCGGGTTTTTTACTGAATATTTACGTTCCACATCAGTTTCCCGTAAGGCAATAGCTCGTGGCAGAATGGAGTCCAATTCCAGTTTGACAGACAGGGTTATTTCCATATCGCTGAATGTCGATGACCTCGGGACTCCATAAGGAACAAGCCAAAAGAAATTCAATGAAGCTATCAAGTCCGTGAAGCTTTTTATTAAATGTAAAGCATTGTATTTTAAAACCAAGAAAACAGATGGCACCAAAGTCAGATGTAGCCAGACACAATTCCCATTCCGCAGGGATGCTCCATCCACTTTCAGCAAAGCTGAATTTGCAAAACACAGTTACTACTGTGGCAATAGAGCTCTCACGCCGCGCCGAGTTTGCGCAAAGCCAGGCTGGGCGCCTTGCACTGGTCTGGTGCCGTCGGGAGAAGCAGAGGGAGGGATGAGCGAGCGGGGAGCAGTGGCAGCTCCTCCTGCCTGGCCGCCGCGGCGTGGGGAGCAGGCTCAGGCCCTCCCGCATCCCCGTGTCCGGCGGAGGCTGGGGCACGGGCTTGGAAATGCATTCTGCTTCTCTAGCCATCGTATTTGG